GGGGACAGGGCTGGCACAGCACACCAGGGGATGGAGCCCTGGTCGCTGCGCCTGCCTTACGCAGGCGCTTTAGTCTGCTGAGCTATCTGGCCAGCCCAGAGTTTAATTTTTTTTTAACTAATAAACCTGTAACTCTTTAATAGAAACTTAGAATTTCCCAGTGGACTTTTCCCAGGGGGAGCAGATCATCAGTTTCTGCCAGCCTCCTGCAGTCCCTCCCAGTCCATGTCACCTCCGTTCTGAGCCGACTGGCGGGCAGAGTAGTGGCCAGAAATCCTTTGCAGTTTCAGAGTTTAATGTTATAGATCCTTTTGTTATATATTTATTTTCTGTTCCCATTATGTGGGAATGTATGTGTTTTCTGTTTTATTATTTTTATTTTGATCAAGAAACATATGCTATGTTAACCCTCTGAAAATTTTATTTTCTTCATAGCTTCATATTGGTGCTTCTAAAATATTATATGTAGAGTTTATAAAATATTTTATGTATCTTGGAAGTAGTTTCCTATTCTTTAAGGACTCTTCAGTAATTAATTAAATGTGCTTTTCAGTTAACAATTTCTGGCTTTATCAGCTTGTAGTTTTGCGCAGCACAAAAATCTCACTGAAGACGTGGGCAATTGTTTTAAATAACTTCATTCTTTCAGCAGTAATCACGGTCAAACGTGGTGGGTGCTAATTTCACCAGTGGTGAGTCCATTAAAAAGAACTTTTAGAACAGATACTCAAAACGTGATGCATCCACTTGTGATGCTGAAAACAGGAGAATAACTATGAGTCCAATCTGTATAGTGAGATCCTATAGACCCCGTAGGCCCTTTCTAAATGAAGAAGAAGAAGAAAAAAGTAATGTAGCAACAAATAATCCACAAAATCTTTGAGACATGCCTTAAATATCCATATAAGTCACTGTACTTCTTAACATGTAGGTATAATTTTTTTGTTTTCTGAACCAGGGATTGAACTCAAACCCTTGTGCTTTCCAGGGAAGTGCTCATTCCACTGAGCCATCTCCCCGGCTCCTGTAGGTATAAATGTTAATTGGCATAGTCATATGGGTATTATGTAGAAAAGCCATGATTAATTAGAATTAAACAATACTTTGAGTTTTTGATTAGATTTTGTTTTGCCACCCAGGTGCTAATTACAAAAAATAAAATATCAACAAAATTCAAATTTTATTTAAAAATTTTAACTTCATAAAAATATTTCAATGAAGATCCTTAAGCAATGCATATTACTAAGTCATACAAGACCATTTTGCCAGTGTAAAACTTCTGAATACAATAATTAGATTAAAGCTATAGAAATGTTGAGCAGATCTCCCTTTTTGTTTGAATGTATACAATGTCATGCTGGAGGAACAAAAGTTGTGAAACTTCACTTTTATTCAGTAAGTTCAAGTTCCTCTCCCAGTCTTTCCTAGTGCTATTACCGGTAGCACATTAATGAAAGGTTAATATCAAGGAATAGCCATATTTTTTTATGATAACCCACCATAGCAGATAAACTGCCACAAGTAGGAAGGAAGATAAAATATAGAAATATTAAAAACAACATTCCAACCAAAAGATTACTCAATGGTAAGGTATTATTCTACTTGGCTTAAAGAAACAAAAGTACAACAGACAATAGAGCAAAGAACTAGATAATATGAGCTAGACTATTAAAGTCCTTGAGAATTATTATAGGAAAACTGGTGATGAATATAAATCGAGGCTTCATAAATTAATTGTGAAGATCAATCCCACAAAATGATGAAAGGTCTTATGATCCTGTGACAGGTTGTAATGGTTACATGTTCTGAAGATACATTTATGTAGAAGACAATATTCAGAAAAATTAAGAACGTGTCGTTATTGCCAGTGATTATACAGATTGTTAAATACAAATGAGATTTCAAAGAATGCAAGGCTTATGTTAGTTTTTCTCAACCAAAATAAGTTAAGTAAGAGTAATATATAAGCCAACAAATACATTTAAACAATTCTGACTAACAAGATTGGAAGTCCTATGTTTAGTTTGGAGAAAGTTTAGTTGGAGAGATGGTCTTCTCTAATCAATTATTAAAGTAAATGTTTTTTCTCCTCTAAGAACACCAAGTTGGCATATTTACCTAGCAAATGGGGTTAATTAATGTTTAGCAAATGTTGATAAAATGAATTACACATAAGAACTAATCTTCATTTCTATCTCATTCTAGACATTGTCAAATTATTATAGGATGAACTGCATTGAACAAAATGAGCATATTCTCTATATCTACAGTGTTTACTAAGAATCGTTGTAAGTAAATAAGCGAATTTATTAAGATTTCAAAACTAAATGCTAACCTAATTGGTCCTTGTCATTTATTAAGAACAAAAATTTTACACTTTTTATCCTTTTACATAATAAATTTCACATCATGCTCATTCACCAGTATGATGGTAGTTTTTTGATTCATCATTTAGAAATAGTTTTGGATGATATTATATGATGTCTTTTCATTTTATTCCTCTATGTGTTCTCTATGAGAAGTAACTAAATTTGTTATAATTCTACGAATACAGAAACACAACTTTCACATTGAATACTTTGGTTTCATCAGAACTGTGTTCAAAGGTGTTTCACTGTGGCTATCTCAGCTGCCGCCAAGCGCAAACAGATCAGACACACTGTCACAAAATACTCACCGCAGTTGGCTTCATCAGATGCATCTGCACAGTCTGGGTCCTCGTCACAAACCCACAGCTTGGAAATGCAGTGCTTGGTAGTTTTACACTGGAAATAGTCTGGAGAACAGCTGTTTTCAGCTGAAGAAGAAAACAGCTATGTTTTGAAGGACAGCAGACATTGTGCTTATAAAAAGCAATGAGAAAGTCTCCCAAACAGTTTCTTCAAAGCGCATTTAATTTTTAAGTAACTGTGCTCTGAAGGTAAGGAATTTTAAACTTTTATTATTTTTAATATGTCCCCAATATCCTTTCCAATAGAATAAATAAGGAAAACATATTTCTGCAATAATACATTGGTAAACATCAGAGTTTAAAATCCTTTTAATTAGATATTTGAAAGCAAATGCAAAACTCAAGGATTACAAGTTATTTCAAAATAATGTTCTAGTTATGTTTAGGAATATTCACATCTGCATTTTTATAAATAGAAAAAGACCGGAATCAGAATACATTATATGAATGGAGAAATAAAAGTATGAAATGAATCAAACTGTCTAGGAGATGTGCTGAGAATTTGAGGGAAGTGTGAACATCTGACTCAGACTATAAACTGCTTCGCAAATCTTAGCCGGCTTCATGAATCCGCTTCTAGAATAGCTGTCCGTAAAGAACTGGAACTGACTTCATTCTCAGCGCACCATTTTAATCAAATTGCTGGATGACTGCACATTATTTACTAATAAAAGTTTTAAAGAAATAAAATAAAACTTCAGCAAGCCAAAAATGTTGACAGTGCTTGTACTGAAAATGTGCAACTTGACAGGTGCTTAATCCTTCAGATCATGTGTGTTTGTGTGTGTATGGTGTGGGGGTTGTGTTCATTCCCACACAGCCATGCCTCTCTATGTGCATCATGTGCTTGGTGCTTAGTGCTTCAATTTTCACTTAATGTACTTTGATTTTGGGGAGGAGACTGAAATGCAGAGTGAACAGAAAGAAACATTTCTTCTGATTATTTTAAATGACCTGTTAAGACTTCTTAAATGGAATATTATTTTTAATTCTTTACAAGTATCTTTGTTATGCTATTTGCCTAAATTTTTAGCATCTTATCATAGATTTAATATGTATTTAATAGAGAAAACACTTTTTGTTATAATGGAAAACATTTTAATCTACTACTTAATGATAGATAAAATTGCCAATTTCTATTTAATATTGGCAGAAAGTCAATTTATGGAAAAATCCTTAACCAACCACAATGTGGTTTCTCTTTAGTATGCTGTTGATGTGTGGCTGTTGTGCATGTGTTTCATAGCCCTTAGGTAGGATGTGAAGATCATCCATGTTTCTCTTGTCTCTATATTTTAATGTAGACCTTCTTTGATAGTTCATCTGGATTGGCACCTATTAATATATATATATATATATATATATATATATATATATTTATTTATTTTTTCGGAACCGAGAATTGAACTCAGGCCCTTGAGCTTGCCAGGGAAGCGCTTATTCCACTCAGCCATCTCCCTGGCCCTATGTTTAAAATTTTTTAAGCTAATTTCTGTTGAGGGTCAAAAGTAAAACAAGACAGTGTTCTGAAGTGACTTACGACAATCTCTCTCATCTTCCTCATCCCCACAGTCATCCTGCCCATTGCATCTGAGGTTCACTGGGATGCATTTCTGATTCTTGGTGCACTTGAATTGACCCGAGAGGCAAACATGTGTGTCTAAGAATGAACAAAAAATCTAAACTGAGGTCTATGTCTGAAATAAATCACTGCATGCATCATCTGTGAAAAATTAGATTTAGGCATTTTAGGATTTTAGACACCTACCACAGTTGAGCTCGTCTGAGTTGTCCCCACAGTCATTCTCTCCATCACAAATGAATGCAGGCAAAGCACACAGTCCAGATCCACATTGAAATCGGCCAGGCTGACACTTAAACTCAGCTGGGGAAAAATGCATAGGTATTACGCATGGAAAAACACTGTGACCTTAGGACATTTTAAACAAAAATTTTCTGACACTCATCTATTGGTCATATTTTTATATTGAATATACCTCAAAGCACAGCCTTAATGTCTCAAGTACAGAGAGTTATTATGTTCTGATAGTATAGGTCAGGTATAAACAATTTAGCAGGCCTCTGGATTATATTTCATGTACTAAATATTAAGAGGGAAGGGACCAACCATATATAAATATATAAAAATGCATTTTAAATTCACAGAAGTATGACCTCGTTCCACTGAAATGGGATTGAAATATTAAGTTTCAGAATAAAATTTAATAGATTGAAACATTTTCATTCTATTATTATAAAAATAATATCTCCCTGTACAGTATGTTGCCTTTGATATGTCTGTCTCACGCTTCTCCTCAATGCATGTTCTCTACTAATACTTGAAGCATATGCTTCCTCTATCACATCTAAATGAAATTTATCTACATTTAATTCTGTAGCATCCATAATAAGGACAATGTTCCAAATACAGTTCATATATACATATATGTAAGCTATGATAAATAATTTACAAGTGAAAATACATTTTATTTTGTTATATTATTTGATATTATATTATTAATGATAAAGAAGAATCCACTGTGAATCTACTGAGCTACCTGCCATACGTTCTTTCAATTACAGGACTTGGATTTCAGATCTAAATCTGACGCTGAAATCTCGCAAACTCAGTGTTTGTAATAAAATACTTTTCTATTAATGATCCTCCTCCAAAATTGTCCTAATCATTGGCTATTAGAATATTAACATGTTCTTCATTAGTTCAAATCAGTGACTCAGACATTAATAAATGACATTTTAAACTTTCTTTGGCAAATAAATTATGGTTTCATTACAGTGTTAACTAAAAATGTAAATCTTCTTTAAAAATAAATCTTTTTTTGCGCTTAAATTTCATAGACATAAAATACTTCTAAAAAGGTGCACTATTTACTTTCAATCTATGCAATCTTTCAATCTGTTTAAATGTTTATATGGTAGATACTTTTTAAAACTTTTTTCTTATGCACTGAATATGTGCATTTCCTATAATTCTATTGCTTTATATATGATTTTTCTTCAACATTTCTTTGCTACATGAACAACTTTCCATAAAAATGACTGGATCTATTAAATAAATGCCTGATGGCATATACCTGCACTCTTAGCACTCTGGGAGGTTGAAACAGAAGGACCACAGGTTCAAGTCTAGTGTAGGGAACTTAGCAACTTAAGGAGAGTTGTTAAAATGGTGAATTTACTGCTAAAGAATGAAAATGCAAGGTTAAGCTTTGTCAGCATGAATCAGCATGCTGCTACCAGGCAATTCTTATCTATGGGCAAAGAAAATGATAATAGTAATTATAGTAGTTGCATCGTAGTGTTTCGCGAGTGTTAAGCAGAGGCTAGAATGCCTGAGTAGTCAGGTGAATATCTTACCTCAATTTGGTGAGCATTACCTATTTAGCAGTTAGTTATACTTGTCTATTTCCATATTTTCCAGGTGATGATTTACAATTATCTATCAGTTTACTCATGGGGAATAAAAATGTAATGTTTTTTCATCTCTATGTTTTGCTAACTGAATATAGCCATTATTATTTTGGAAAAGGAATGCATATGAAATAAGCACAATGCCAACATTGGTCTCTAGAATGACCTTTAGTACAATGCCACTGGAAATTTGATACAAACTTATAATGACATATGATACTTTTTTGGCATATAATTTTTATGCATCACTTTTAACTACATTTATAGAAATAGCATCATGTGACTTTATCAGTATGTGTCTTTAGGGAAAATATTTCTTGTCTTCTTTAATAATAAACTGTCGGTGGCTCTTGTTATGTACAAAGGCTGATGATACAGGGATGCAAAAATGGTGCTTGAACACTCCACAGACTCATTATTTTCCATCTCCCCATCACACTTAAAGTAAAGTGTTGTGGCAATACATAATCACTCATCCAGTACAAGTAAACACTTTTTCTTTGCTAAAGACCACAAAGTTAAGATCATGAAAACAATTAAAAATTTATTTGCTAAAGGCTACATATATAATGCCATCAATAAAATCATGAAGCACTACTAGAAGGAAAGATAAGTGGGGCTGGGTAGATAGCTCAGCAGGCAAAGGCACCTGCCTGACAAGCACAAGGTCCGGAGATTGATCCTTGGAAGAAAATAAAAAAGAAGAAGCAGCTAAGGAAATACCACTAAGACAAAGTGCTGAGCAGAAAATTGTCATATTTGACTCACTAAACATAGTCAATAAAGGTAAAAAGAGATGAAAGACATTACATTAAGTGAAAATGATGGTTCAGCACAACAAAAGAAGCACCAAGAATGAAGATGAGCTACGAGGATTGAGCTCTGAGACCGGCAGTGTGTGGGGAACAGTGGACCCACTCCACCTTAGAAGGCCCACCGGGAAGGAGCTGTGGCACAGGCAGCCAGCATGGCTCAGTGCTCCACTTGAAAGGGGCAGGGCTATATGCAGCCAAACACAGCAACCAGATGCAAGCTAGATTCAGCCAGTCATTCATGTTCAGTAGATGTAGACCTGGTGACCCGAAGCATATTGCTGTGCCCAGCCAAGCCCAGACCAAGTCCCAGATCTACAGGAGCATCCTCGTGGTACAGAGGTTGCTGCAGGTAACTGGGGTGAGTTAGTCTGCCTGGAAGATGACAGGTGCATGAAGGGTAGGTGCCCAGACAGAACTCAGGGGGAGTAATTTAAAAACAAAACTCTTAGTTTAGGATCTGCTTTATTATACAGCTATAATGTTTGCTCCTATAACGGTTCGGTCTAAAGTACAAAACCATTAGTTACAAAAGTGTGTCACTTTCTAAATTTCAGAAGCTGTTAGTATTGCTACTTATGCTACTACAAATAAGAGAATATATCCGCCCCTTAACCGTGTGCTCTCCCTTGGGTAATAGTATCTGGAGCTGCTTAGGTAATAAGCTCACCAAAGCCCTATAGTGAAGGGCAGAAAACAGTGCCAAATGAAACCAATATCTCACTATCAATCAATAGAAAGAGAAAAAGCTTGGGATGCACATCAAACAAGAATCTCTGACACAGGAGAAATACCTAAAAACTAGACATTACAGAGAGGCTCTGACTGCAGTGATAGAAGTACTTACTATGAAACGTTCACTAAGAGGTATTGCGGAAATCAAAATAAAGTTCTTTTTGAAACAGAAAATGACAAAAATAGCACCTGCTTAGTCAAAGTGAGGGGGCTTGGGTTCAATCCCTGGAAGACTGTGACAGACCCTCCCCTGGGGCTTACTGAAATGGCAATTGAGAATGGGCGTGGTGGTTTGCACCTTTAATCCCAGCACTTTGGAGGTTGAAAACAGAAGGCTCACTACTAGTCCAATCTACATAGTGAGACACTTTAGACCCTGTACCAAATACATAAAAAAAGAAAATGACAAAAAGAAGGAGCAAGAGACAAACTCAGGCCCCGAGTCCACGCAGAGCAAACCCAGGAGGTATCAGCATACAGAAATTGGAAGCCACACACCCGAAATCTCAGAAATAGTAGCAGCTAAAGTAAAGAAACAACTGCTACAGGATACAGAGGAAATCAGATTAGAAATAATATTCCAGGTAAAAAAGAAATGATAACTATAGTGAAAGAATTACTAAGCATTTCTAAAGAAGACACTGATAAAAAAAATTAAAGGAGAAAAGAAAAATGATGGAAAATTTGATTGAACAGCATAGGAAAAAAATAGAGTGTATTAAGCAGATTCAAAAAATATACATGAAATTAAAAACTCTATCACAATTTGATAAAGCCATTTAAATTAAAGTGAAGATAAACTTTCAGATCTTGAAGACACCATTGCAGCTAGTGCAAAGGTAAGGAAAGAACTCTTAAAACAACTAGAACTAGGAGATAATGACACAAAGGCTGCAAGATGATGACCAACATAAGACCAAGAGGTCTCAATGAGAAATATGAGGCAACACAAACAACAGAAAAAGAATATGGACAGAAGTTATCTCAGAAAAATGCCTGATCATGGGAAACAATCATTCAGACAACTGAGGCATATAGAACTCCAAAAAATGTCAACACAATTAAGACCACACCCAGACATATAATTATAAAAATCCCAGAAATTCAGCAGAAGAACAACATACTAAAAGCCATAGGGAAAAGAGAAAGAACACATTTAAAGGAAAACCCATCAGAACAATAGCATATTTCTCCTCTCAAACCATCAAATCAAGAAGAACATGGAATGAAGTACTTAAAGTTCTGTAGGAAAACAAATTCCAACCCAGATTGATGTACCCTGCAAAACTCTCTTTCAAGCTTAGTGGGGAAGTGAAATACCTCCATTACAAAGACCAACTAAAGTAATTCATGACAATCAAACAACCCTACACAGAGTACTAAAAGATAATCTAGAAAGAGATCAAAATACCCAGAATTCCAAGAATGACAACTGAAAGAACCCACCAAACATGAAAACAATTAGACACAGGAGGAAAGTATAGGTCCAACAGCAGGACAATGACATGACAAGCATCAGTCAATACATATCAATTACAACCACCAATGTATGTGAAATCAATTCACCCATTAAAATAAATAGATTAGCAGAGTGGATTAAGAAAAAAAATTCAACAATATTCTGTGCATAAGAAACAAATTTAACTCGTAAAGAAATTCACAGGTTGAAGTTAAAGGATGGAAAACAATACTACATGATCCAAGACCTCAGAGAAAAGCAGGTGCAACTATTCTGTTCACAAGCAATCTGAACTTCGAACCAAGATGATCAAATAAGATAAACAAGGTCAATATGTATGCACCAAATATGAGAGCACCCGACTATATAAAACAAATTGTAAAGGACATAAAAATCTAATAATCAACATCACAATCTTAAAGGGAAACTTAATACTCCAATATCTCA